ATATATATATATATATATATATATATATATATATATATATATATATATGTATGTTCTATCTTATTATGTTTTTTGTCTGCACCAAGAACACCAACTCAAATTCCTTGTAAGTGCAAACCTACTTGGCAATAAACTTGATTCTGATTCCGGAAAGAATTGCAATGGTTAATCATCATCAACAGTAAATCATGTGTTAATTAAAGATTTAGCCATTTTAAAATCAGTATCTTTTCATTAGGTTAACAAATTTGCAAAATCACCCACGTTGGTTAGTGAGTTTTGTCGGAAATGCAGGATTTATTGCAGTTTACCTCCAAAACAGCAGAGGGCAACAACGAAAAAACATTATAACTGAAATGGCAGAAGTTGACACTTCTCAAAGGCTGACATCGCTACTGAGGTGAGGGTTATCGGCCATTAGCTGGCTTTAAATTCAAAGTTAATTTTTACTTCTAATTCTTACAACAATGCTGCTTGTTGGTTGCGGATACCATAGTGTGCATTAGTTTTCACTAATCCTGAATATAAACAACCTCCACTAAAAATTCTTGTCAATACTGATGTTTAATTTTTATATGTAAAATAATTTCATCCATTTACTATTAAGTGTTAATTTAAAGGAAAATGTACTAAATTAATCAGATTTTTGGATAGAAGGCACACAACAAATTAAATAGTTGTACATTTAAACTTGAACTGCTTATAATGCCTTTCTCATATAAATAATAGATGGGTTCCTTTCCTTACAAAAACATGAGATTTAATAAGATATTTTTTTATTCTAATAAGTTTAAAGTTGTTAGGAACATAACATTGGCCTTTCCCATCTGGATGCGTTTAAACTCTGTGCGCTCAGAGGTGGGAGCCAGATGGCCTCAGCTGGGAGACGATGAAATCTCCCGGGTTTGCAAGAGAGAACGCCCTAAGACTGATTTGCCCTCTCAGATAAACCACATCTGGGCATCTTTAGCATTCTTCAGCAGCTTGTCTGTGGTGGAGATTTGCAGTTTTCTTTTTTCCTTTATATTTATCAGTAGATTGATATAGAGATATAAAATATTTTATTATTTTTGGCAGGGGAAATTATACCTTTTTTTTCTGAATGTATTTGCTTCTTCAGCGTTGTTTTGACTAAGTGTTGTTTATTGCTGTGGATAAACCCCAGTCTGAGAACTGTTATCTTCCTACCTGCTTCATAGTGTTTAAGTAGCCAGTTGCTGCCTTTCTGTATATACCAGTCCCCTCCATATTAGCATTGCATTTCCTTTTGCTATTTCAGACAGTCTTTGCTCTCTACACCCCTTCATCAAACCAGGTGTTTCACATATAATCCTGAATATCCTTTATCAACCTTTCCCAGTCGTCCTCAGGAACTTGCCTGCATACCAGCGCTCTTCACTCGGTTTTTACAGATGTATTGGACCTGCCTGCACAGAGGTTTTTCAGTTGAGGGAATATAATAGACTTGTGGTTTAAATGAATGTTTCCAGATGTAGCGGCAGCACGGGTGAGTGGAGGGTTGTGGTGTCTTGACAGACAACTCGTCACTTGCTTAAGCGGCATGACAAACGTCAGGGGGTACTTCTGCTTTTCACCATGACACCTCTGCAGGAAAAGAAAAAGTTTGCTATGCATTGTCTAGATGCAATGAGGCGGCTGTTAAAACAGTCCAGTTCTGCTGTTGTATACCTAGTTGTTCCTCTTGAGGATCCCAAATTAGCAACGAGAACTGGAGGGAGCAGTTTTAGTTTTCAAATTGTTGATTGAACCAATGTTCATCTGACATTAGCTGTATTCCAAAACTGCATTTGTTTTTACTTCAATCCTGAAGTTAAAAGCTCAGTGTTGCAGCAATTTTTCACACAGTTATACTAAAATCTCTGCTTTAGTATTTTTTTTCTTTATATATTATATTAATCAACTGAAATATTTTTATTTTTGATGATTTGTCACCATTAGAGACCTATAAGTGTAGCGTCTCATTTTAAATGTTGAATGCTGAAATCTGAATCAACTCTCT